AAACTAGACCTATTTTTATCGACAAAAAAGAGGTCAAAAATTTTTTGAGATTTTTTTTTAATTTTTTATAGAATTTTTTTTCTTCCAATTACTTATTGTAAAGAAAACGTAATAACTTTTAAACTAAGAGGTATATCCTAATAAAATAAAAACAGTAATAATGCTAAATAACAGACGATACTAAAAAAATACATAAAATACTCAGAAAATGCCAACAAATAATAAAAAATGATACTTTTTGAAAAAAAACTGCTTTTAAATTCGTGTTTTTTTTGGTTATTTGATAAATTTATCCAAAAAATGTCCCTATAACCGGTGGTTTTTATTACTTTTTATTATTCTCTATCGTATTACCTTCGTAAAACCATAAATTGCATGTCTCTATCTCTATCACAACGTTTGCAATGATCGTTTGAACTAAGCCTCTCCGGGCGCGCCATTCAACGCTTCGTTAACAACGAAACTGAAAATGGCTCTAGATTTGTTATTTTGATAAAGACAAGTTAGATTTCAAATAAAAACAAAAGATTTCGGAGTAAAATAAGCATTTTAGTTAAAATTAAAATTGTCTCTTAACTGTAGCGGAGAATAATGTTGTGGCAGGCCTTTGTTCAAACGATCATATCAAATGTTGTGATAGGGATAGAGACATACAATTTTTGGTTTTACAATGATAATACGATAGAGAATAATACAAAGTAATAAAAACCACCTGTTATAGGGGCATTTTTTTGAGAAATTTATCAAATAACCAAAAAAACACGAATTTTTAAGCAGATTTTTTTCAAAAAGTATCATTTTTTATTATTTGTTGGCATTTTTTGTGTATTTTATGTATTTTTTTAGTATTTCCTGTTATTTAGCATTATTACTGTTTTTATTTTATCAGGATATACCGCTTAGTTTAAAAGTTATTACGTTTTCTTTACAATACGTAATTGGAAGAAAAAAAATTCTATAAAAAATTAAAAAAAAATCTCAAAAAATTTTTGACCTCTTTTTTGTCGATAAAAATAGGTCTAGTTTCATCTATTTTCATATGTACACTTTAACGTGACTCACACTGTATAATATCACTTAACAATCTATGTGAATATGTACGAGTAAATCCAGTGCTTAATTAATCGTGTATCGTGTAGTATTTTGTACACAATATTCTCTTATTACTTGGAATTAAGTACTAGTACCTAATTAATAAAATAATCGCATCACAATCTCATAAATTCCATCAAAGTATACGTCTTTACCCACCGTGTATCCATTATCTGTTTCATAATTGTGCTCGCTCGCATTAGCCGCCATTTGTATTAATTCTATTGAATGATTAATAGATTACGATATGGCATTCCTAAATCTGGAATGCTCCGCTAGTTTCCCACAATCGCTCTTGATAATATCGGATGATGCGGCAATAGCTCCGTAATACATTAATCCTGGATATTTGATTTGATTTGATTGCTAAGAGGTAGGACTTGTTGTCGTTTGAATTGTAACAGTTGTGATAAGTGCCCAAATAGGCTACAAAGTTTATCACGAATTTTCTTAAAGGGGTGCTAAAGGTGGTTTTAGCAAAGTTATTTTTACAGATTTTCAGTCACCGTAAAATCGTGAATTCCGTCAGATTATAATCTGACGTAGTAATCTACAATATCTGTTAGTTTACAATTTCACGCGTTACTATCCGACTTCTTGTCACCTGTCATTCGCTTTACAGTCTGGAGGGTCTCCGTGTTGTTCGATTATATTTCTTAACCTTTTGGGAAATTGTAAAATAAATACGGTCTGTGGCGTACATAAATATTACATTTAATTAAAGACAGCCAAAGTCAAGAAGGTTTACTTACTATTGAAATTTTCAATTAAGGCTTTTGCGTCTTTCATATAAGTGTTTCATAAAAATTGTGCACTCAGTGGAAATTCAGCCTTACACCATCACGAGTTAGCTATCGCCCCCTCTTTGGCAAATGGTTTATCGCAAACAGTATCTCCGACAAAAACAGCGGATCAAGACTATTACAAAAGTTGCCACATAATACAAGAGCATTTATTCAAACAGAATATAACTTTCAATTTGAACGGGAAAAACTTCTCTCCATTCGGAACACGCGCGAAGCCACTTAACTCACAAAAAGCGGTCTCCATAACAGTTAGTGTAATTTTAAAGCTGGCGCTACACTTTAACAGTGTTCATCTTCAACCCTAGCTACATATTTAAATTAGGGGAATTATAAAACGAGCGACTAAAAAAAAACTTTGCGACTGATGATGGCATACTATTTTAATACATTGAGCGGTACGAATTTGAATAAGCGAAAAATTAACCAAACCTACGACGAATATTGATCAATAATAAAATCCAGAATGAGCTTACAAAATGTGGGTTTTGATTATTACATTTCAGACATAAAAATACTATCCGGGCGACTAAATTACTAGGTGAGCGACTAGAAATACAGAGAGGGCAACTTTAATATGAAGATACATTAGATTTTTCTAATTGAGGTTTTACTGAACGAACTACAAAAAAGTTAATTCTAAGCAAAGTTTTGTGAGCTGCTTTATTAATGATTATTGGTTACTGATATTATATTTGAGGTCTCATGTTTTTTATTTTGATACGCTTTATTAATGAAAACTACAGATTGTTACAGCGCGCGAATTCGAATGGGGGCGGGGCGACTGTCCCGAATTTTTAACAAAATATGTATGCAAACACGTTTTGGGTCTAGCAATTCGGCTCAAACTTACAACACCGCCACTGGAAGCAAAACTGATACCTATTGGACAAAAAAGAAAACGAGGCCGGCCCGCTAAATCCAAGCCAGCACTTATCATACAGTGGCGATGAGTAGGTAGAGCTCCTCAATCCTCATAGGTACCAATCAATGAACCTTATTAATAAGATTACTTTTTTTTTGGGTTGACAGAAGCGACTTATTTTATTTTGTTTTTTTTTTGTTGATTTGATTTAAGAAAACACAAATTTATTTCATTTTTCGTAATACATTGTTTCATTTGATTACCTACTCTTAAATTTTAATGATTTATTTTTTTCGCTACTAGAATAGTGTTCCGTCAAATATTTATTTCATAAGATCATTTTTTATTTAAATGTGGGCTCATAATACGCTGCTCATAATAGTATTTTTCAAAGTAGTTTTTGCATTCGAAACACTTCATTAAAGTTAAAAATACCGCTCAGTATAAAAAAAGCATTTGCCAAATATTGAAAAAAATGCAGGACCTAACGTTGACACTCAATCAAATATTAGGTCGCTCAAATATTATGAAGCTTCTCATTTTGTATTTTAAGGAACTCAATTTTCTTTTGTAAGTTGCTGTTCTTTTGATTTTTCGTCACTCGCACTCAGTCGCTCACTTAGTAATTCTTTAGCCCACATTAATTATTTTTGACACTTACAACATAAATTTACAGTCACTCGTTTAAATACTACCCTTTAAATTATAGCTAGCTACTAGTTTTTGCCTACAGCTTCACCCACGTGAATTATGGTCTGTCAAATACCCAGACTATGTTTGCCCCAAAGGTTTAAAATACTCGTAAAGGTAACTGTAATTTCACAACGTAATTTTCAATATTTTTTATATTAAGTATCATTGCCTTTCCACTCAATTAGGTACCATATTGAAAATTGTAATACAGTAGCTAACGTAGTAATTTTGAAACAAGTCGCAAAGCACTCAATTATGAATTTGAGTATATAATGTTACTTGTACAACCACATCGCGATTGCTATAACATAAAACACACATCATTAAACTTTTACAGAACAATTCAAGTAGCATATCAAGTGTTACATGGCCCCAATCGCTGCATAATGGATGCTCAGCTTAAGCCATGAATACTTGATGCTGAGGTCTGCAAGGCCGCTAACATCTCACTTAGGGTCGTTAAGTGTTTTCGAAGTCGCCATTAGTCTGAAATATGAATTAATGGCGGGCGACGCTGCGGCGTCATCGGTACACGGCAAGGTGTCTGAGGATAGCGCCGGCTGTGGAGTAGCTTTATTTTAGTTCAAACGCACAAAAGACTATACAGTGTGAGTCACGTTAAAGTGTCATTGCAAACGTTGTGATAGGGATAGAGACATGCGATTTTTGGTATTACGAAGGTAATACGATAGAGAATAATACAAAGTAATAAAAACCACCGGTTATAGGGGCATTTTTTGGAGAAATTTATCAAATAACCAAAAAAATACGAATTTTTAAGCAGATTTTTTTCAAAAAGTATAATTTTTTATTATTTGTTGGCATTTTCTGGGTATTTTATGTATTATTTTAGTATTGCCTGTTATTTAGCATTATTACTGTTTTTATTCTATCAGGATATACCTCTTAATTTAAAAGTTATTACGTTTTCTTTACGAGAAGTAATTGGAAGAAACAAAATTCTATAAAAAATTAAAAAAAAATCTCAAAAATTTTTTGACCTCTTTTTTGTCGATAAAAATAGGTCTAGTTTCATTTATTTTCATATGTACACTTTAACGTGACTCACACTGTATTTTAGTAGCAAATATCAACACAGCATACATTATCAAAATGTGACTAGAGATTCGGCTGTACTTTTATATCTGTAACTTGCCTTAACTTGCTATTTAAAAACAGTAATTGTATTGTCTTCTTATAGAATACAAAAGAAAATTAAAATCTGTTCATCTTTAACCATGGTGTAGACACTTGTGTTACTCTAAAGAAACACTAAACCGTGAGTAAATAAGCAATAAGCACACTAACTATAAGTCTTTAGCCTGGAACTTTATTTCTGTATTAAGTTTTGCTTCTATCTGAAAAAGCTTCAAAATAAAATAATACATACGAGTAGGTGCGACTCCATGACTTTCCATTTACAAACGCGCATAACCAAGTAAGCCGACGGGTGGTCATGATTGATTATGTCGCATTTTGCGTCGCGGCTTCCACGACTCCGGTCGTATCCAACGCTCATCTTTACCGACAATCACAGATAACCGAACATGGACAAGAAACAACAAATGTTCCGTATACACAACACTAATCAGGTTAACGGGAAACAGAAAAACCCCGGCGAAGTAAGGGAAGGTAAATAAAAACAAAAATACCGCAGAGGATTTTATTACGGAAAACTTTTCAGATTACGTCCGCCAAAACTCTTGCTTTTATGTGAAAGATTGCGGCAGTCTTATCTACTTTTCCAATTAAAATTAGCATTTTAAATGCGGCCTATAGCATTTTAGGGTTTATGATTTTGGTGAAAACTTTGTAAATGTTTTAACCACTTCTTGATGTCCAGCTGTTGTACCTCTGTACGTCTATTATCAAATAAAGTATCGTGCTATAAATGGTAATTGTATAATTAACGGTGTACGAGTAAAGATAATTAGAAGTGGGGGATATAATATTTGTATTAAGCAGTAACAGCATTTTATGATTGGAATGTAATTTTAAAAATTACTAGTACTCCAACGACTTTTCAGAAAAGCTAAATAGTTGTCAAACGAATCAAAATACATATTTTCTTCGTAACTAAAAATATTTTCCTTGTTTCACCGACTTCTTTAAAAGCCTTCATAAAAGTCAAAGGTATTTTTATTTCCTATTCTTTTTCCCACTTTAAGGCAAGTTTCTGATTTGAAAGCTTGCGTACATGTTTTATAATTAGACTTCTTTCGGTTTTGAAAAGTTTCTTCGAAGCATTTCAGCATTAGATTTCTACATTTATTTGCTACGATTTAACGAGACGAAAATATATTTCAAACAATACCTAAACACACAATACGTCTGTCAAATTTTAGTAGCAAAGATATTTATACAATGGAAGAGCTATAACAGTGTCAAATAAGTTTCAAATTAGCAGCTCCTCCTTTTGATGAGGGTATTTCGAGTAGAAATTGTGAGAAGAAGTTCTCATTACAGAATACGATGCGAAGGAAATCTACGGTCCGAAGATCACGGACAAGGATGGCGCACTTTTGGATGAACACGACAGCTTCTACCACACCACTAAGAGTCTCCTAGTACTGTTCCAGATTATGGGGATTATGCCCATCATGAGGGTTCCTAAAGGTACACTTTGCTATAAAGGTTTGCTGTGTAGTTTTTCAAGACTAGAATAGGTTCATTCCTACTCTTACTGTGAATGTCGTAAGAGGCGACTAAAGGTGACACAAGCTTCCCCAATCCGTCTGGCTGGCTAGCATGAACTCCCCCATAGGGAAGGAAAATCCTCCATATTTTATGCTTTTGCACCTCCTCTTTAATTTAATTTGCGTCTCTTGCAGGAAACTAAATGAACTGATGATGACTAACTAAACGACCAACACAAGAAAAAACATGTATGGTTAAAATGTCAAAGATAATATTGTAAGCGACAGCTTCTATGATGGTACCTACATAAGAATATTCAGTGGTTATTGAGTAAAAATTACCAATAGGCGATCTCTCAACTCATTTACTTGTGTCGTGTGCCGTTGTTAAAGAACTCTATATTCCTTACAGATGCCCAAACAACAAAAAGAACAACATTCAACTGGATATCCAAGGCCACACTGTGGGCATACTTGGTATGGGGACTAGAATGTATCATCGTTGTTAGAGGTATAAACTTGTTATATGACAAATTAATTGTTATTTTAGTATCAAGTCTGGGTCTATCTCATGCAAAAAAATAAAATAGGAAAAGAGATCTTAAATTCAACTGTGTAGATAATAAAGCACAAAGTAAAACGCAACCCACAAGTGATTTATACTTATTATAGAAATTAGACATGTATTGGTTCATTCGAAAAGTTAAGTTAATTAATGAAGTTCGGAGGAAAACGAAAGGGCCCTTAAACTAAGTGCTATCATTTAAAATCCAGTTATGAGATGTAAGACGATTAATTAAAATTAGTCCGACTAATTCCGTTTTCCAGAACCGCAGGCTCAGGCGTAGTTTAATTTTAGTGGGCGCCATGTGTTCATCCAGATTAGAATCGAGATGATTAATTCATGCGATTTGCTTAAATGTTGGTTTCATTGTATTTTCGTTTATGGTTTTCGAAGAAATAAGTCCTTTACAGACGTGAGATGTGAGTTTTAAGACGCTTGCGCGCTTTAGTAAGTTGTTCACAAAATAAGTGGCTGCGCACTCGATGCGCGTCAAATTAATGATTATTTTTAATAAGCGTTACTTTAAAAGGTATTCTTTTAGATGACCTTATAAAGGTCGCAGTAAGACGCTAAATTCGGCCAGCTCTCAACCTAATAAATAAAAATAACATAAAAAGTATTTTCAGATAACTAAGATCCATAAAGAGGTAGTAAAAGCTTAAGCTGATGTTAGTATTAAATTTCTCAAACGGACCTTGTCCTATAAAGCAGTGAAAGCAGCATGTGGCCGATCAGTGGACAGTCCCCACTATGCAGCTATCTCCTGACCTGGTACCCGGTGGCAGCTGCCGCGTACTCTTTACAGTGTGGTACAGTAATGATGCGAATGATGCGCCCTGTACAGTACAGTACAACAGTTCTTTTACAGTGGGCAAAGAGCGCTTAGCGAACTTCCAACAGAACACAAACAAGCGTTTCGACGAAGTGATCTACAACATTATATTCTTGAGCATTCTCATACCGCATTTCTTGCTGCCCGTCGCGTCGTGGCGCCATGGGCCTCAGGTGGCCATATTCAAGAACATGTGGACCCATTATCAGGTGGGGCACCCCTTTTACAGTCTCGTCTTTTTTCCTTCAAATAATGTGTGTAATTTTAATATTTTTATTTTCAATGATGACAGTATATTACGTAGGTACTTAAGAGCGTTGTAGCAAAAAGTTGGCGTTCGAATTTTAGGTTTTTATTGCTTGACGTCGCGTAGTGAGTGCGCAAACTGCATTTATCTGTACAATTTCAACGCTGCGTCGACTAAACGATCTTAATCCGTAGTTGTATCGTACCTAAGACAGTACATCATACATAATAATAAAGAAATAATGTATAATTTACCTATTTGATTTTTTCTCAGATCAGACTTTTAGCAAAATCAAGTTACGTAATTAATGTATTTTTTACACTAGTAAATCCCGCGACAAGTTTTTAATCTTTAAATTGAGTAAAGTAATAAGTTGATGGGTTTGAAAGAATTTATGTTTTATTTTATTCTTTTTACAGCATCAAAAGCTTGTTTATGAAAAATATTTACTATTTAAATTTTACTTTTGACATTATTATCTAAAAGTTAATAATAAATATTTAGTTTTTATAAATCTAAACAAGTCAGGAAATCAAAGAGGTAAATGATTTTATAGAATTTATTATTATAAACCACATCCTATAATGCTAAAAAATTAGAGGTAACTTTAAGATTTTTATCCGTAGATCAAAATTTATCTAATCGTGTTTTTAAACAGTTATCCCATTAGGTAATACAAACCCATCAAAAACAATACTTGTCAAAAAACCAAGTCTCACTACTCAGTTGTTCTACGGTAAAAAGTTGTGAGATCCATGTAATACCAAGTCCAGTCCAGGAAATCATTAACGTTTTACATAAATATATTGACTTGGCCATCGCATGAAAACACGTGTAAATTAAATTATTTAGTAAGTAAATTTTAAGTTGCAAGATTTTACAACTCCAGATGTCAAAGAAAATAAAAGCTTGTAGATAGCTTTACAAAGGAAAGAAAGATTTATGAAGAAAATAAAAAGTACTGTCTACGATACATTTGTTAGGCCGTGTTGCACCGTCTTACTTTAACATTGACATCAAAATTTTGGATGTCAAAAATCTGTCTAAAATAAAACACTGGTTATTGTCAGTTAGGGTCAAAGTTAGGTGGTGCATCTCAGCCTTAGTGTATTTTAATTAAATTTAATACAAATAAGGATGACGAAAATAATCGATAAGTGATCTCACTCGAATATTATTGTATGCCCATGCGGCGGAACACAGCTGATCTATCATACAAATTTAATGACCTGACTTATGTACCTGTGATTTCACAATAAACACAATTTGAATTTGAATTTGAAAATATTTCTTATAGTAGGTATACAAGATGTCGAACAAATCGTTACTTACTGAAAAAGTGCTTCAAGAGACCTAGCGAAGGGCATCAATAATATGTTTAAGAACGAACTGAATCTATTCAAAAAACCTATATTTCCAGCTTTCATACATTTGATACAGTTACAAACAAACACGAAATCAATGGTTTCTGAATTCTGAGTGCCTTAATGCCGTCCCCGTTATCTGTTTATTTAGTATTTATTAATTAGTATCTCTTGATGATATTGTAGCAAGTTAAACCTAAAATCATGTTTTCCGTAAATAATTTAAATAAGAATGCAATTTACGAGTTTGTTGTTTGATTATTATATATTATTCAATTATAAATTTAAAAAATTAACACTTCTAATATGGTAGGTATGGCTGGCGAAGTGTGAATGTTTCCGAATTTCATACTAAATGTAAATTTTCGCATAGATCCAGTTTATTCTTTGACCTATTTATTGTTATTGTTTTAAAGAGCTCATGAAGCACTTACAGGAACAGTAAACAGTTTCTCGATATCTTGTATGGTTAAAAATCAAGTGAAATCACTTATCGTTTCCACCCTGTACCTATACTTTTAAAAATAAACTCATTTTATACGTTCATTTGTATAAGTATCTACAATACAAATATCTAACCAACTTAGTTGACGTTTTATAAAACTATTTGTCTAAGTGTCATCGAGCGACCGCTGGTGGATTTGCCATTTACCTGACCTACCCCTTTATTACTAAACGTTAAATATCAGATGAATAGTTACGCACCAATTTCTTTCATTTAGTCGTCAGTAATTGAACTTTCGGAAAAACATGACGAAGCGTTGTGTGACCATACTGACGCTATTCAACTTTTATTAGTAAGGAAGAGTATATTTTATGTTGGTAGAAACACAATAGCATAGACTAATGTTTTGACACCCTGTTAAAATTTTTATTAGTCATTTATTTTTTCCTGACCAAACAGATACCATAATTA